ACATGGGCTTGTATTTACAGGATTATAAACTTGAATCATGTCCCATACCAGGAGGCTGCCTTTATTAGACATGTATAGGCACTTTATAAACAGGTCCATTTCACAAAACAGAGAGTTGAACCGTGTTTGTAATCCCACCTCTTGAGATCATCTAAATTATTGCTGTGATGATTTGGAAGACAGCCTGTGCTACACAGTTTTGTGAAGGTCAGCCTACAGTACTGGTTTGAATTCCTGTGTGAGACAAATTAAAAAAGTATGTGTGTATAATACCTGTGGGCTATTTGAATCCTAATATTATTACCATGGTATTGTGAATATTGCACATGTTAAATATATGTCATTGATTAGAGTATGAAGCTATTACTGAGTTTGTCTTTCTCAACTCTAAGTACCAAGAGAAGTCTGGGTCAGGTTTAGCTTTGACTTCTTTGAATCATTTTCCTGTACAATACTCCATAGAATGATTTCAAATGTAACAGTAGCTTTGCTCTTCCATTTCTACCCAGGACTCCAGCATCTCTATAATAGTCTACTGTAGAAGTTGTTCAAAACTGCATTGTATTGCGTGAATAGTGTGTTTTCGGCTTCTTATGTTTCGGGGTGTCTCAAGAGTGTTACATAAATTCATACTACATTAGATATTAAATGTGTCTCCATGGTGGCTGGAATGAAGGTTCACTGTTTAACAACACTTGTTGCCATACACACAACACACATGGATTGTAACAATCATCATTCATTTTGATTCCAGGGATCCTAACACCTTAGTATGAGTTCTTTGAGTAGCAGTTTTACATGTACTACACAGAAATTCGTACATTTTTTTTAATATCCTCTAATTTTATAGGGAGTAGTCATTTGTAGAAAATATTTTAGGTAACACTTTTGCTGTATATTCTTACCCCCCTTGAAATCTGATGATACTATGGGCTGTTGTATAAATTAATTCCCCTGTTTTTGTTTTTTGTTTTTTTTTTGTATTTAGAATTATGTAAGTATCATTACTTGTAAGATAATCAACAGTAAAATTCTACTTTTTCTATGTATAGTATTCTACTGAAGATGCCACAACATAACTATTGGTTGCTGAAAGAACTTATGTGTGTGTTAGTAAAAATTAAAACCTCTTCCAAGAATCGCCTAGACTCCACCATGCTGTCAATCCGCATTGCTCCTTATGTGCTGTGGGATCCAACTTGCATTGAGTCCATATTTCGGAGTTCCCTCTCCAAAAAGGTAAGGGGATCTGATTTTTCCCTTTGGGAACAAAGTCCTCATTTTGATCCCAAAATTGGGAATACCTCAGAAAGGTCAATGGTATTAAAGGACCGTCTACGATTGCATCTTCTGGAGTGGGAGACACATTGATCTATTTCAGGGTAGATGGGAAGGAAGATTGCTAATGTTATTTGATGGAAGTGAATCATGACTTTTGGGTTCTGACTTCAATTTTTTATCTTTCTTTTCAGATATTGATTTTAGATATTGATGTTTTAGCCAACAATAAGCTGCCTGTATAATGATAGTTCAAGAAGACTATAGTGAAATTGAAACAAATCCTGATTATCTAGTTCTTTGTTTGTTTGTATGTGTTCTGTGATAGGCATACTTTGGAGCACATGATAGTTGTGCTTTATAGTGATAAGACAATTATAGTAATGAATATTCACTGCACCCTCACTTCTGGTCATATGAAAGCATACAATATACATGATGCTAAGTATTATATACACTATAAAATAGAATGAACAAGGATAAAAATTTAATATAGGTTATATAACATAGTTTCTATTATTTTAGCAAACTCATATAAATCAATAGTGTATGTTTGCACTACTTCAGGTACAGTCTTTTGTACCTCAGGATTTCTGTAGCTCTTAATTTTATAATAAACCCATATGCATTAACATTTTTCATAAGATTTTTAGTTATTTACCGCATCTCCTGATTGCAGTATCCTCCTCTAAGTCACATCCTCAGAATCCCTTCTTCCCTCAGTTTAATTTTAAAGTAAACTTTATTTATTTATTATTTTAAAATTCTTGTTGAAGTTACCAGGGGAGAGAGCAGATATGGAAGGATTGGAAAATGCGTGTTACAGGGTTGTGTGGTGGGCAATTCACACAGATCAATGAAGAACATGCATTATAAAAATTAAAAAAGTTAGATAATAAACCACAACAACCTAAAAAAAAAGAAAAGAAGAGTATATTTTAACTAGAAGTTTCCAGAAATAAGGTCCACAGGAAGTAAGTCATGGTGATTATTAACAGTGGAGTAGCATAGCCCAGGGAATAGCTTGTTGAATTTAGAAAGGGACTCAATTTGCTACAATTGCTATGAATAAAAAACTGATCAAAAGGATCTTATGGAGGAGAGGTTAGAGTTCATGATGTATTTCTAGGTGCCTTTTAACTCCTGAGAAGAGAGAGGAGCCAAAATGAAGCAGGGATGGAAACTGGAGGAAAGAACTAATGCCGAAGCTGTATAAGAGTTCTGCTCCTGTAGTGCACCTGGCACTATCCTGTAGATCTGGACCCTACAAATTTCATTGTTAATCAAGACAATAACCCATAGACTTCCCTCCACAATAGGCCAATCTGATGGAGGAATTTTATCAACTAAGAGCCGTCCTCTCTTCAACTTCTTCTCATAGTCATTATTTTGTAGCTTCAATAATATACCGGGCCTAAGGCAACTTATAGATGTAAATGTTTATGTGGTACTTAGAGATTCAGAGAGATTACAGTCCTTCAAAGTCATGAGAGAGGAGCCATGGCTGCAGGAAGGAAGGACAACCCAACAGGAAGCAGAGACACTGTGGCTCTCATCTCAGGAAGCAAACATGAAGCACAGAGGGTACTCTGCAAATGGCACCTGGCTTCTGTAACCTTAATTTCTAACCAATAACATACTTCCTCCAGGAAAGCCAAGCCACTTAAACCACCCAAGAGATGTCACAAAGAAGGTATCGTATATTGGGATGCCTGAAATGAATAAGGCATTCCATTCAAGAAAACACAATGAAACTCCATCTCCTCCCCACACCCCCGCCAAATATCACAAATTCCATAAACCTTTGAACACATTTACTTGATTCAATCACAGTTATTCAGGCAGCATGTCAGTTCTGAAATGTTACTTTGCTTTAGCCGTTCCTCCGTTCTTTGCAATATGTATGACATTTTCACTAGGTTAAGCAAGTGGCAAAGAACTTAGACTTTCCTTTTCACACAGAGACTCTGTTTTACAGGTTCATATCTGCTCATAGAAACTGTTATTTTCCTCATCATTTTAGATTTCAATATTTTTAATGATTTCAATTTTGTAAACTCTGTGAAATGACAGAGCATCTTGTTTTTGCCTTGTGGTTTTGTAGATCACGATTATCCAAATAATGATTGACAAATATCAACAGTTATTTGAAGACCATGACATTCCATTTCGTTGGGATAATCAAAGTAGGTCTGATGGTGTCCAAGTGTCACTTAATACTGCTGGTAAGTCACCTGTTATGAAAAGTGTCATAGATGGCCACAGTGTGAAAACTTTAAATGCTAATCCTGAAGAATTAATTGTTTCATCTGCTCCTTCTCTGGAGGAAGTTCCTTCATTTAACAAAAGGTTTAATTATTCATCAAATGAATGGAAGGTTGATATCATTCCCTGGTTATTTTGTAAATATCATAACAGCATTTGCGCATGTCATGATATTAGATTATAGGAAAAGGTGGTTTTAAACAACACTTTAATTAAATTACATAGGAATATATATATATATATATGTATATGTATACGTATATGTATGTATACATACAGACACGAACACATATACATATATACTTACATACATGTTGTGTGAGACAGAGCGACTCCCTGTAAGACATCCAGTTTATTATCTGCTATATTTCTCATCTTTCTTCCCTTGGTCCTTTAGTCATGTATGATATCTTGAATATGACACTATTTTTAAAATGATCACCTTAAACAATTATTTATTTTTAAAAAATCTATTAAACCTACTGCAAGATTGAACCATGTGCCAACATGCGTTGCTACTTTTGTCTATAAAGTGTAGTGTTTGTTTCATTTCCTTTGAGAGATATTCTTAGCTAATGCTTAGCATTTGATATAACTATTAAGTTACACAGTATCCTCTATAACACATACATGAAGAATAATATAGATGTTAAAACATACCTGATTTAACAACTAACACCATTCAAATTCAGAGATACTGTTAACTCAATTAATTCTTTGCGTAGAGTTCAGAGAATATACTAAAAAACTAGTTGTATCTGCAGTGTGGTGAATCTATCATCTGAGAATGTTTGTCTAAAGATGACATTTTATGTTTCATTTAGCAGGGGACAGTGGAACACCTTTAATATACAACGTTTCACAACAGAAGCATCCTCATGACTGAAGGATGTCCTCACCATTCTATTTCAATGTTCCCTTCTATCTTCCACTTTACCATCGCAGAAGATATTATTACAAGAAACAACTGCAGTTTTATATTGAACCATATTACTTGCTGCAAATAGTTTCATTCACTATACTTTATGTTGTGCATTAAATAAACGTATCTATTATAATAAATTTTTATTATATGATTGCGTAAACTCAAACGTGCCTTATTCATGATTCTCCATAGTCTTTAAAATGGCATTTTTAGTATTCCCCTCCTCCTCTCTTACGCAGGCACCTGTATTCATTTGACAGATATCCTAGAATCACTTTATTAATTATTTCTTTCAAACTGCAATCAAAATGACATTCTAAGTCCTGCTGGAAAAATGAAGGTTGGAGATTTATTTGACCAAATTATTCTAGCTTCTCACTATAGAACAGTCCCCATGGCTAAGAATCAACTATTTAGCAGTACAATAAAATCGGACTCGGTCCTGTGCAGTGTAGCAACGCTTTTTAAAAAAGAAATTATATTTCTATTTCTGTCAAAATGTACTCTTGAAAATTATTTACATTAGGAAAAATTGCTCATTATTTGAGGACTCAGGGTACCATCACACAGCAGTTCTGATGTCAGGAGTTTCAAGCTACTGAAGTTGTTCACCTAGTTGAGAATCAGAGGACGATGAGTGTTTCATATTCAGTGAGCTTCTTCTTTTACACATTCCAGGAACCATGCCTAAGGAATAGTACAGCCCAGTTATAGTGTTAGTTTGCCCACATCAGTTACTTATGCATAGACAGAAAATAATGACATTAAATATTCCCTCAATGTTGTGCCCAGAATCTTTTGTCATAGATAATTCTAAATAAAATTCCATTAATGATCAACATTAATCATCACACATGATAAAACTTGAAGTGATTCACAGTTTTAAGAATATATGAATTGGCCTGAAATGATAGGTCAGTGTCTAAAGCACTTGAGATACAGGCTTGATGACAAGAATTTGGGTCGTCAAAACTTACATTAAAGAACAAAACTAGATATTGTAGAACAAGCATCTCTAAACTAGAAGCTTCTACGTGGAGATAGGATTTGCACATCAGAATTAACAGATACTCGTGACATGTTGTTCAGTCATGAACTAAAGAGACCATGTGTCAAGAAGAGATAGGAAAACAACCAGTACTTGGGTCTGTCTTCTAACAAAATTAGCTCAAAGCTCTAACTATATAATCTGCAAATCTTTAACACACACACACACGCACACACACAAACACACACACTCATACACATTTGCACATGCATTGCATATACTCTGAAAACCACGTAGGTATACAGTATACTTGTTGTAGTATCTCTATAAACTGAGACCTTTATCTCAATGTCAAGCATCATTTATTCATGGTTTGTCTTTCTAGAAAGGGTCTGTGATTCAAATTTGAGTTATGGAAGTCATAGAGAAAACACCCAGTAAAGAAATTCATAACTACCACATTAATTATAGGACCCTTCTACACTCCCATTAACACAATTTCTAAATATTTCTTTTATTACTATTATTTTAAATTTTTATTGAAAATTAAACTGTAGCACTGTGCCTTCCCTTTCCTCCCTTCAGTCTATCTCATGCACCTCACTTTCAAATGCATTGTTTCAATATTGTTTGATGGATGTTTTTTATTTGTTTATATTTGTGTCAATAAAATTATGAATACAACTTGATTCCACCTTTTTGCATTTATGATATGGTTTCTAAGGTGAAGAGTCTGGATTGGACAATCCATTAGAGTATCACTTGTTGAAAAGGCTAATATTCTTTCTGCCATCTTTAGTTGCCTATAATATTTTGACACATGGCAATTGCATTAACATTGCATTGATATTGTCATCATTGTAGTTTTGCAACCATTTTCTCAGATTTCAAAACAGCCTTTCAGGTGTGCTTGCTTTTATACTTTTTGTAACCCTGCTTCTGAAGTGTTTCCTGAGGTATATCCACTGGTGCTATGTTGTACATGTATTCAT